CTCACCTTCTTGTCCCAAAGGAATTTTTTTCTTTTCTTTTCTTTTTTTTTAAGACAGAGTCTTGCCTTGTAGCCCAGGCTGGAGTGCAGTGGCGCCATCTCAGCTCCCTGTAACCTCTGCCTCCCAGGTTCAAGCGATTCTCCCACTTCAGCCTCCCAAGTAGCTGGGACCACAGGCATAGGGCACCACGCCCAGCTAAATTTTGTATTTTTGGTAAAGACAGGATTTCCCCATATTGCCCAGGCCCATCTCGAACTCCTGAACTCAAGTGATCCTCCTCCCTTGACCTCCCAAAGTGCTGGGATAACAGGCATGATCCACTGTGCCCAGCCTCAAAGGCATTCTTTATCCAACCCTTTACTGAGTGCCTAGCTCTAGGCTAGGTGGGAACACAGGCCTTGCCGTTTGGGAGCCCACAGAGGGTGTGCAAGAGAACTAAACAGGACACAGGACAGGTTATATGCAGGAGTCTGACTTTGTTTTCTGTGCTGAGAGAGTTAGGAGAGAGAGGACAGGCAAAAAGGAAGAGGAGAGAGGCCCTTTCTCATCACTGTCCCCACCCCCACACTGCACAACCCAAAACTCACCCCCAACTATTTCTAGAGCCTCATAAGTCTCTCTTCCCTGAGATCCCCTGGTCCACTCCTGTGATTCATTCAGCTATGTGAACATTATGCTCTGATTACCACCTGGACAGATGTCATCCCTTCTCACAGGAAACCCGAGTCATACCCCCCTTAACCCACTGAGCACAGAGTTCTGCCTTCTTCCTTAGCATCACCACGGAAGGCAAGCTAGTCCCAGTTTCCCAAAGAGCCTTCTGTGGTAAAGCCACTCAGTCCTTCAGGAACAACTTTTTCCAAACCCTTTATGAATTACCACTCGGCTAATGTACAGTTTCTAGCTCTGGAAAGCAAGACTTCTATTTATTTATTTCAGATTTACCTCATTCAAGCCTAGGAATATTGAGGTGTAGAGAGTCAATCTCTGGCCACACTACTTATGACTTTGCATATTTTGGTCTAGCCTCCATATTAGCCTTTGCTCCTCTGCTTCTTTCACCTGGTCTTCTGTAGCAGATGGACCTGACTTTCTTAGGTCTCTGCAGCCTTGGGGAAGCTGCTATTCCTGTATGACCATGCCCTAATTTTATGTTGGATTGGGCTTTACGTTGAAGTGTATGTACTGTATTTGAGCCTCCTGACCCTATATTTACAGGCAGTTTACTTTTATTTATTTATTTTTTTGTGTTTTTTATTTTTGAGTTGGAGTTTCGCTCTTGTCATCCAGGCTGGAGTGCAATGGTGCGATCTCAGCTCACTGCAACCTCTACCTCCCGGATTCAAGTGATTCTCCTGCCCCAGCCTTCTAAGTAGCTAGGATTACAGGCATGTACCACCATGCCTGGCTAATTTTTGTGTTTTTAGTAGAGATGGAGTTTCACCATATTGGTCAGACTGGTCTTGAACTCCTGACCTCAGGTGGTCGAACCCCACTAGGCCTCCCAAAGTGCTGGAATTACAGGCATGAGCCACTGCGCCCCAGCAGTTTGCTTTTAATATAAACAGTATTGAGGTCTTGTTTATATATAATAGAATGTACCATTTTAGTTGTACGTGTTGACAAGTTTTAACAAATTTACACAGGTGTGAACCACCACCACACTCAAGATATAGGATACTTTATCCCAAGAAGTTTCCTGTGCCTCATCCCACCTCCTATTCCCCACCCCTGGCCTGCCTAGGTAACCACAGATCTGCTTTCTGTCATTGCAGATTTGATTTGTCTTTTCTAGCAACTTGCAGTGTGAAGAAGCTTGGGATGGGTTTCTCTAGCCTGTTAGGGAGGCATTAGAGACTAGTTACATTGACAGCACAGAGAGGTAAGAGTAGACATAAAGCCAGAAAAACCTGGATCAACTGGCACTGCCCCCTGGAGAGAAGTGTTGTTTTACTTCAGAGTAAATATTGGTATGTGGGGTGTGAGGAAAGGTTGGGTTTTGCTAGGTTGTATTCACCCATTTTCTTGCCTCAGTGAAGACCAATTTGAATCAGTGCTAATCAGGTGTGGGATGTCCTAGAGATGTTTGAGAAATTGTCCCTGTCTTCTGGGAATCAGTTCGGTGGGGGAGACAGAACACAGGCATACAAAGATAAGGGAGGATGAGATACTTGGGGATGAAGGGGAGAGAGGCCTGCAGGTTAGAGCAGCAGAAAGGCTTTAGGGAGGAGGTAGGTAGGACTGGGATGCCATGGGTGAGGGAAGATCAGGATTGGGTTTGTTAGAGGATGGGGCGAGATTAAATTCCATTTGTTCATGTCACTCCACTAATCACGCCTTTTAGCAGTTCCCTGTTACTCTCAGGGTAAAGTCCCAAAAGTCCAGTTTGCTTGGTATGGCCTTTGCCACCCTGCATGGTCTTGCCTTTTCTACCCATCCTACTTCAAACCTCACCGTTTCTTTGTGAAAATTCCACAATCCCAGCAAACTGAACTGCCCTCATTTCCTGGAAAGTGATATTCACACTCTTTTTCTCCTCTAAGCTTTTGAAATCTTTTCCGTCTGCTAGTACCTGCTCTACCCCACTCTGCCCCAAATCTTTCCTTCATATCCTATTCATACTTCAGGTCTAAGCTTGGCCTTCATATTCTTTTACAAATGATTAAGTCCTCTTTCTGGAGGCGAGGTAGGGTGCTATCCCCACTAGACTATAAACTCTGTTATGGTAAGGATCATGTCTGTCTTGTTCATTGTTGATTCCCCTCTACCTAGCACCATACCTGGACTATATTAAATTCAGAGAAAATGAGTTCAATATGAATTCTGAATATCCCAAGTTGCTCTTTGGAAATTTTTATCTGAATGTGTTAGAAGGATAGGAAGGGGTGAACCTGGGATGGGGAGACTAGTGGAGGTTTATAACAAGGAGATGTAACTGTGTAAGCATGTTTTTCCAGGTGCATGATTGTATCTGCAGTAGGGCTATGAATGATTCAAATTTGAACCACACGTATCCTTGCCTTAAGAGCTGGGTATTGGAGACTAAGAGATAAAAAATATTGATGTGTAAATATTCATGCAGTAATTATTTATCATACCCACTCTGTGTTAGGTACTGTTCTGGGTATTGGTGATATACCAAGAAACAAAACAAACAAAAATCCCTGCTCTCATGGAGCTTATTTTTTAGTTGGAGGTAAAGGATCAATAAATAAATATGTAAAATATATGGTATATCAGATGGTGATAGATGCCAAGAATAAAACTAAATAGAAGAAGTAGACTAAGAAGTTCAGGGAATCAGAAGATTATCATTTAAATAGGATGGTCAGGGAAAGTGTCACAGAGGTGACATATGAGCAAAGACCTGAAGGAAATGAAAGAGTTAACTATGCAATATCTGGGGGTGGAGGGTGGGGTGAAGGGGCGGGGATGGGGAAAACATTCCAGACAGATGGCATAGCAAGTATAAAGTCCCTGAGATGGGCGCCTGCTACACATGTTCTGGGTCAGCAAGGAAAGGAGTAGGAAAAGTGGCAGGAGATAAGGTCAGAGAGGTACATTCCGTTACCCCATAGAGATAATCAAATAACCCATGGCATATTAAATTGGTCATTATGGAGCTTCATGAATCATAATTTGTAATTAAAATGCATGAATGTCAGGCACCATAAACCATGACCAGCTCAAAACATCACTGGTAATGCCCAAATAGCAAAACGTCCTTCCTGAAAATTGTGAGAATGCCAACTGGCTGCATGTATACATGTGCAGGAGGAGCTTTGCAGCATTGCCAAACATTGCCTGGCAGCCAGACTTCTTAGTAGAAAACCGAATTAGAGTTTTCTGTGAACTCCAGTTAAAAGCTAATTTTAGTTTATGACTAACAAATTTTAGTACCCCTTTATAACTCAGTTGGTTACCATAAAAAAAAAAAAATCAAAGTCTGGAATTTTACATCATTTTCCTGTAAAAGCCAAATAAACTACTTCTATTTTGGATCATTTTGTGGTCTCTCAAGAGACTCCTATTGTGTCATACTTTTAGAAATATTGATCTAGATTAGGAGTGACTAGGGTAGGAGTGAGTGGGCAGGGTTGGGTATAAGTCCAAGAGTCTTGTATGATTCAGAGATTTTGAGCCTGGTGATGGGGCCTGGTATCCATAGATGTAAAGACAGGATGATGTGTTTCTGTATGTCCAAAGTAAGATGGCTTCATTCCTGTGACCTCAGTGTCATTCTTATACATATATTCCTCAAGCCCTAGATATGATCTTTTACCCCCTTACCTATTAAATATCTCTCAAATTAAACTACTTTTTTTCATATACACTGCCACCTCCCTAGCCCAGCCTACAATCATCTCACCAAGAGTGCTGTAAAAGCCTTGTAACTAGTCTTCCCCACATTCACTCAGTCCCTTTTCAATCCATTCTCTACACTGCATCAAAAGTGATCTTTTTTCTTTTCAAACTGTCAATCTGGTTATGTCATCCCCCACTTAGAACACTTAGTGACTTCCCATTGCTTTTAGGATAGGGACCAGATTTTTATATAATCCCTCCAAAGACCTGAATGGGCCTGAGGCCTACCTGGGTCTCTATACCTTAATTTGTACCACCACTCTTCTCCCATTATTGCTGTACCTTAGTTCTATGTGCTGCCTCCCTCTTTCTGGAATGTTCTTCACACCCTTCCTCACACACATGTACCTACTCTTTTTTTTTTTTTTTTTTTTTGGAGACAGAGTCTCACTGTGTCACCAGGCACCAGGCTGGAGTGCAGTGGCGCGATCTCAGCTCACTGCAACCTCTGCCTCCCGGGTTCAAGCAATTCTCCTGCCTCAGCCTCTTGAGTAGCTGGGACTAGAGGTGCGCGCCACCACACCCAGCTAATGTTTTGTATTTTTTAGTAGAGACGGGGTTTTATCATGTTGGCCTGGATGGTCTCAATCTCTTGACCTCGTGAGCTGCCTGCCTCGGCTTCTCAAAGTGCTGGGATTACAGGCGTGAGCCACCATGCCCGGCTACACATGTACCTTCTCTTAAGATTTCAGCCCCCAAATCAATCCCCACAACCTGCCCTGTTACGGAAGATAGGGTAAGTGTCCTCTGTTATATAGTCTCATTTCTCTGTGTTCCTTTCTTCCATAGCATGCATCACAGTTTGTAATTATTCACTTAATTTGTGTAATTATTTGATTATTATATGTCTCTCCCATTAGACTGTGAGCTCCTTGAGAGCAGGGCCTGTGGACGTTTTGGCTTATATCTGTATTCTCAGCTCCTAAAACAGTGGCCATGATGTCAGAAGCTCTTGATGAATGTTGAATGAGTGATCAACTCTGGTTGGGGAAGTAGCACAGGGGTCTATGGAAGCATGTAGTAGGGGATTTTCATTCTGATTCTGGGGGAATTAGGGAAGACTTCTGCAGGGGACCACCAGTATTTAAGGTCTGGATAGAGGAAGAAGAGTCCAAAATGGAGAAAAAGAAGGAGTAATCAGAGAAGTAAGAAGACAACAAGGAAAAATAATATCCCAGAAGCCAAAGGAAGAATGTGTTTCTAGTGAAACTGTATGGTAAGCCAAGTTGCATGTTGCTAAGGTGTCAATGAAGAGAAGCACTAAGATATATCCGTTAGATTTAATAACTTAGAAGTTATTGAGGACCTTGGAAAGGACAATTTCAGAGGGAAAAGCTAAACTAAATTGAGCTCAGAAGGCAGTAAGGACTATGTAGGCAAAGATGAAAGACTTGAATATATTAAATGCTGAAGGGAAGGATCCTGAATGGAGAGAGAAGTTGAAGATAAAGGAGAAAGGTTAAATAATGACCGGAGCTAAGTCTCTGAGAAGATGATGCTGTGGACAGGAGGAAGCACACTTTGTAACAGGAGAGGAGAAAGGATGGATGCAGTTGATGATCATTTTGAGGTTTAGCAGCAGGAAGCTGAGAGAGTTTTTTCTTCTTTTCCCCTAGTAGTGTTATGGAATTCCTTCTGGAAGTGATAACTAGAAAACAAATTTTGCCAATGGCAGTTCCATTTTGTTATGATTATAGTCATGCTATTTTCAGAGTTATGGTCTGAGGTTTGTCATGCACAATTATCAGATTATAAAACAGCTGTGAGCATTTGAGGCCAGAACTTGTTTTCCTCCCCTGTGTACTAGGGGGCCTAGCACATTGTTAGTACTTGGTACATGCCAGGTACTAAATAATAATGGCAGAGGGCTCTTGTGTTCATTGCTGGGCTTTGCAGCCTGCAAGTTAATGCTAAAGAGTAATGTTGACTCTCTGGCTCCAGCTGTGAGCAAGCCACATGAAATTGTTTTCTGCCAGTTAGGAATTTGTATGAAGTGTTCAATCTTTGCAGTCACTGAGCACTGACAGAGTTGTATGCAAGAAGCAAACAAAGGACACAGCTGTTGTAACTTTAGCTTCACTGGTTTGAGTCTCATAACACTTTGCCCTACTCACTGAGTCACTAGATTCTGGTTTGCCTGGTGAATTTATGTCCTCCATTTATCTCACCTCCTAGATTGAGAACCCTGGGTGTGAGAACCAACTCAATCTTGGTTCTTCTTTAGCTGTCATCCGAGGACTTGACACATAGTAGATGTTTAATAAATGCTGGATGAATAAATAATGACTGAATGAATTAGCTGATGAGTGAATAAATGAGTGATGGAAGGTATGTACTGCGATACTCTGAACACTAACTTTTCTTTCTTAGCCTGCAGAAGAAGCAATTCATGTCTCCTTCATCCTAGTCAAAACAGCCTAATCCTATTAATTATGTATGACTGTACCCCTAATATTAAGCTTATTTTTCTATGTTTATTCTTATATCACATCCATTTGCTCATTTACTTATTGTGTCAATGTGTCAGGTATTGAGACTCAAGTCTTGTTTGGGAACAAATTGGTGTATATGTAAACAAAATAATCTGCTGATCTTTGGAGAGGCATCTGCTTCCGTGCCTCTGTGTCTTTGTTAATTATTTTGTTTCCTCTATATGAAATGCCCAAGTCTTCTCTACTGTTCCTGCTCTTTACAGACCTGGCAAACTCTAAGGCACATTGCTTTAAGTTAAGGTCTTTAAGTTGCAAGGAACAGAGGCTCATTCAAGTTACCTCAGATAAGGAGGATGAGAGAAGGGGGAAGGTATGTATGTGGTGAGTTACAGATGGCTATTATAAATGCATAGATAACCTATAATTGAAATTGGAAAGCAATTGATTATGAAACAGGTATAGGGACCAACTCCTTTTTCCACATCACTCATGGCCTCTCTATTACTCTTAACTATGTTTCAGTCTTATTCTTATTCCCCAACTGGCCGGATTTTCCATGGTCCCTGCTCCCTTATAATTTTAGTATGTTTCCAGCTCATCATGGCTGTTCTGACATCTCTCACAAACATTTCCATCAATATCTCCGTCCAACTACTGATTTTCCCTGTAGTCGTCATTCAAATTCTTAAGGAGGGAATCTGATTGAACCCAGCTCATCTACTCGTGCTTGGTAGTGTCAGCAGGGAACAAGATCCTATGGCTCTTTAAGCAACCAAAGCTAGAAGGAGGTATTCTCTTTCCTCAGCTCCTCCAATGCAAGATATAACTTGCTTTACTCTAAAGTAACTTCTATGTTGTTTCTGGTAAATCTTTTTCTCATGAATTGTATAGGAAGGGGCCTCAGACTTCTTCTAGTCCAATGCTTTCATTGGGGGCTGATATTTACATTACAAAAGGTCCTGTCCTTTACAAAAGCCTTTACTATAGGGTTTTAAAAATAGCACATCTCTGCAATGAATTTTAAAATATAGCACACAGGCCAGGCATGATGGCTCATGGCTGTAATCCTAGCATTTTGGGTTGGGAGGCTGAGGCAGGAGGATCGCTTGAGCCTAGGAGTTTGAGACCAGCCTGGACAACATAGCAAGACCCCATCGCTATAAAACAACAACAACAACAAAAATTAGCCAGGCATGGTGGCATGCACCTGTAGTCCCAGCTACTTGGGAGGCTGCAGCTGGAAGATCCCTTAAGCCCAGGGGTTCAAGACTACAGTAAGCTAGGATTTTTACCACTACATTCCAGCCTGGGCAACAGAGTGAGAACCTGTCTATAAAATAAATAAATAAAATGCAGCATACTTTATATATAACTCTTAAAGACCTTGATTTAGGGGATTTATATTCTGACCATGATGCAGGAATCTACACTGGACTTTCATTCCCACTGTAAACAGCTATAAGCTTGAACATAATATATGACACTAATGTTTTGAGGTATTAGTCAATGGACAGCATAGGACAGTGATTCCTCAGGGAAGTAAAACACTCAGTGTGAATCACACATTTACCCTTGCTCTCTGCCTAGGGACAATTTCTTGATCATAGCCCAGAGAGGTAGATCCAAAGGAGATCATGATAGTACCAGGGAGATAACCCAGATGTTGAAATTAGCAGGCAATGTCTTTAAAGTAGCTGTTATAAATATATTTATGGACCTAAAGGAAATATCATTTTAATAGATGCATAGATGGAGAATCTAAGCAGAAAAATGGAAACAGTAGAAAAATCCAGTATCAGAAATTAAAAATTCGTTGGATAGGCCTAACAGCTGAATGTGAATATGGATCCATAGAAATTATTCAGTCTGAAGAACAGAGAGAAACAAGTTTGTTTTGTTTTGTTTTGCTATGTTTTTCTTGTAAAAAGAGAGTCTGGCTGGGCGTGGTAGCTCATGACTATAATCCCAGCACTTCAAGAGGCCAAGATGGGAGGATCACTTGAGCCCAGAAGTTTGAGACTAACCTGGGCAACATAAGGAAACCTCATTTCTACAAAAAATTAAAAAATTAGCCGGGTGTGGTGGTTATGTGCCTGTGGTCCCACTACACAGGAGGCTGAAGTGGAAGGATCGCTTGAACCCAGGAGATCAAGGATTCTGTGAGCTGTGACTGTGCCACTGCATTGCAGTCTGGGTGACAGAGTGAGACCATGTCTCAGAAAAAAAGAGAAAAGAAAAAGAAAAAACAGGCACCTTGTTACTGAGTCTCCATGAAAAAAAAAATAAACGTAAAAGAGAGGGCCTTAGTGACCCATGAAATATATTATATATGTATTTGGAACATGTGTATAGTTGGAATATGAGAAAGAAAAAGAGGAGGAAAAATAAAGTAATAATGGTCAAAAGTTTTCTGAACTTGGTGGAAAACATATGACTATCAGAAACTCAGTGAGCCCAAGCAGGATAAATACAAATAAAACCACAGTTATGTCTATCAGAGTCAAACTACTGAAAACCAAAGATAAAACTAAAACCTTGGAAGTAGCCAAAGAAAAATGACACATTGCATACAGGAGAACAATTATATGAATTGTGGTTGACTTCTCATCATAAACAATGTAGGCCAGAAGACAATGGAATGGCTTTGTTGTTGTTGTTGTTTTTTGAGACAGAGTCCCACTCTGTCACCCAGGCTGGAGTGCAATGGCATGCTTAACAGCTCACTGCAGCCTTGACCTCCTGGGCTCAAGTGATCCTCGTGATCCTCCTGCCTCAGCCTCCCAAGTAGCTGGGACCACAGGCATGTACCACCAAGCCCAACTAATTTTTTTATTTATTGTAGAGACACGGTCTCACTATGTTGCCCAGGCTGGTCTTGAACTCCTGGGATCAAGTAATCCTCCTATCTCAGCCTCCCAAAGTGCTGGTATTACAGGTGTGAGCCACTGTGCCTGACTTGGAAAGACATTTAAAGCACTGAAAGAAAATTACTGTCAACTCAGAATTCTATATCCAGAAAAAATACCCCTCAATTATATGAATTGTGGTTGACTTCTCATCCTAAACAATGTAGGCCCGAGACAATGGAATGGCTTTTTTGTTGGAGCTGAATGATGTGATCTTGGCTCACTGCAACCTCTGTCTCCAGGGTTCAAGCAATTCTCCTGCCTCAGCCTCCTGAGTAGCTGGGATTACAGATGCTCACCACTATGCCTGGCTAATTTTTTTGTATTTTCAATAGAGACAGGGTTTTACCATGTTGGCCAGGTTGATCTCAAACTCCTGGCCTCAAGTGATCCTCCTGCCTTGGCCCCCCAAAGTGCTAGGATTATAGGCATGAGCCACTGCACCCAGCCCTTCTGTTAATTTTCTTACAAGACAAATGACTGTTTACAACAAAAAAAGCAAAACTATGATCGTCAAGCAGGGCTTATAATGTATACAGAAATAAAATATGTGACAACAGTAGGGCAAAGGATGAAGTAGTGGTGGTAAATCGAATTATCATGTTATGAGATTATTACATTGTGAAGTGTAAAGTGGTACAATATTTATTTTTAGTAGACTATGATAATTTCAGGATGCATATTATAACCCTTAGAGCAACCATACATGCGCAAAATACAAAAAGGCACACATGAAAAGCCAATCGAGAGAGCAAAATGGAGTACTAAAAATATTTAGTTAACACAAAAGAAGGCAGATGATGAACAGAGAAACAAAAGCAGATGAGAAAAACTAGAAAACAAAGACAATATGGTAAAGGCCCCCAATTAACAGGCAG